CTAAGCGTAAAAGATCATGGGTAACTCCAGGCGAACCATCGACATCGACTGCAAGGCCAAATCGCTATGGACGGAAGACAATGCTTTGTGTTTGGTGGGATCAGAAAAGTGTGATCTATTATGAGCTGCTAAAACCTGGCGAAACCGCTTAATACTGAACGCTACCGACAACAAATGATCAATTTGAATCAAGCTTTCCGTGAAAAACGATCGGAATATCAAAAAAGGCAACACAATGTGATTTTGCTTCATGATAATGCACCATCACACACAGCAAAACTGATCAAGGAAACGATTGAGGCGTTTGGTTGGGAGATACCTTCGCATGCGGCTTACTCACCAGACTTGGTTCCGTCCGATTACTACTTATTTGCATTGATGGAACACGCACTTGCTCAACAGTTCACAGCGCTTCACTTCTTACGAAGATGTACGAAAATGGCTAGATGACTGGTTTGGCTCAAAAGAGCAACAATTTTTTTGGCGTGGTATCCACAAATTGTCAAACAGGTGGGAAAAATGTATAGCTAGCGATGGGCAATACTTCGAATAAAATATTTTTTATCATTTTCGTGCAATAAACGTGTATTTTCTATTAAAAAATTCCGGTTTCATATTTACATACCTGGTATAATCTCTTTTATTAAAAATGGCTATGTGGGGTAGATTGACCAAAATGAGACGATGTTAGATGATAAAGCTGAAATTGGCCCAGAGAGTTAGCCCAGAATCACTGAAACGCAGGACCGCATCGACCAATTTTGAAAAAACTTATATTACAGCTTTATGAGCAAATAAAAACGGTTTTAATGCACGTAGGCATAAATACGGTATCAAAACATAACAAAAATATCATTTAAACAACATACGAATAATAAAAATATTCATTTTCATTTATGAAATATGAAGAAATGCGTAAGACCTACGACTTAACATTTAATAAAATAAGCAGTTCGCGCTCCCTCAAAAATGAATATGCATTGCATTCCTAACATCCCAAAGAACATGTGTGAAAATTTTCAGCCGTTTATTCGTTTGCGTTGACGAGCAACAAACAATTATTTATCACTGCTCGGGCAGAATAGCGCCTCTTATAAAATTTGGCATTTTTTTAAACAATTAAGCAGTTCATGCTTCCTCAAAAATGAATATGCATTGCATTTCTAACATCCCAGAGAACATGTGTGTAAATTTTCAGCCGTTTATTGGTTTACGTTGACGAGCAACAATTATTTATCACTGTTCGGGCAGAATAGCGCCTCTTATAAAATTTGGCAATTTTTAAAACAATTAAGCAGTTCGTGCTCCCTCAAAAATGAATATGCATTGCATTTCTCACATCCCAGAGAACATGTGTGTAAATTTTCAGCCGTTTATTGGTTTACGTTGACGAGCAACAAACAATTATTTATCACTGTTCGGGCAGAATAGCGCCTCTTATAAGGTTTAGCATTTTTTTTAGACAACTATATTGTCTAAAAAAAAATGCTAAACCTTATAGAACGAATAAACGGCTGAAAATTTTCACACATGTTCTTTGGGATGTTAGGAATGCAATACATATTCATTTTTAAGGGAGCACGAACTGCTTAATTGTTTAAAAAAATGCCAAATCTTATAAGAGGTGCTATTCTGCCCGAACAGTGATAAATAATTGTTTGTTGCTCGTCAACGCAAACCAATAAACGGCTGAAAATTTACACACATGTTCTCTGGGATGT